CAGAGCTTCTCTGCTGCCATATTCAAGGTTTTGGAGTCCATGTTAGCTTAGGCACCTGGACAACATGGTATATATTCAGATCCAAATTCCCTCTATATGTTGATCTGTGTTTGATCCTGTAAGTAGGCACATTCTCCGAGATGCTTCTACACACACATACCAAAAAAACAAAAACAAAAAAAACCCACCAAACCACCACAGCATACATCTGAAACTACCTGGATTGGTTATTTGTCTGTTTGTTGTTGTTGTTTTTGTTTGTTTGTCTCATTTCCCCCCCATAATCTGAGATATTTTAGCCTCCCAAAAGTTGTAAAGTTGACTGTAGTCACTTCACTAAGCCCTCCTGCAGGACCTGAGCAGCTAGTTATGCTCAGATTATGTACAACGCTACAAAGCACAATGTGCTGAGGAACATCTGCTGTGTTGGGCAAAAAGACAACACCAGCACCACTTTGTCAGCTGTTTTGACTAAACAGACCTCACCCTCTACCCTTTGCCATCTATAGCTTATCTTCCAAGCACTTGCTCCACGATAAAGTTCTTAGCTGTGACTCATGAAGAGTCATGAAGGTACCTCCCTACAGACTAGCGCAAAGTGTTTAAGCCCCTGAGGTTTATATCACATCATCTCCCTCACGACTTCTCCTCGTGAACAAGGGGCTCCTTGGTTGCTGCCAAATATCCTGGATTCCATTCCCCAGTCTCTCTCAAGGAGGGTCTCATCAGGGTCATCTTGTAAATACTCAGTGTTTACAAGACCAAGCATTGTCATGCTTTAAGTCCCACATGTGAACCTGAACCCATAAGCTGCCCCCACCGCATATACACACAGCATAGAACACTGTATCCAGGTCAAGATCTGTAATAACATGAATGGCATTTCACCACTCGCTTTCCCGAGAATCACATACTAGTATCTCTAAGCATCAATATCAAGACACTATTACTCAGGTCATATGCTTACATCACTAAAGTAGTCTCTTAGAAATTCTTCATTCATGGCTCCTCCAGCTCCCACCATCACACCTCCTCCGGCCACCAGTGTCTTGCCTTCTCCAGCTGTCACACCTTCAGCCCCTCCAGCTGCCATGGCTCCATAATCAGCACCAGAAAAGAGAGGCTTTTGCTCTTCCCATCTTTCACTGGTCCTGGTCACAGTGTTGTAATGCTCTCTTACATTAGATGCAGAATTGCTGCCTCCTGCTGCAGCTTCCTCTGCACTCATTGCTCCTGCTCTGCTGTCTGCTTCTCTTGACTTCCCCGCTGCAGTGGATGCGATGAGGTTTAGCACTGGCTACATAAAACAACACAAATTAAGATTTGACATGAAAGCTGCGTTGTCAAGCACACTGAACTCACCAAACCAGCAGTAGGGTTGGGTGGGACCTGGAAGGGTGCCATTTGATGACTTGTTCAAATTTGCGCTTACAACATGTAGCTGCAAAGAGTAAAGTGCCTCATGAAATAGGGTGTAGCTTCCATGACTGTGTTCTCAAGAAAGATAGGAGTGTTTCTGTTGATGCATTGTTTTCTTAAAACTCAAAGAGTTGGGAATCAAAAAGAGGGGAAGAGGAGGAAAAAAAAAAAGGAAAAAGAGAGAGAGAAACTTGTGAAACTCTAAAGAGCTCAACCGTTCCAAGAAAATTTTGGTAGTCCCTTCAGCCAGAGAGGCATCATGTGATACTGCCCAGCTTTCCCCAAGCAAAAAAGTGGAGAGCATATACTGCCTACTGTCTCTTCCGTGGTAACACCTGGACCTTTCCTCTTTCCAGGAAGTCTGGCTTCCCTATTAAGTTTACTGTCTTTCGTTAACAACTAGTGGGGGTATTGGCCCCCCAAAAAAATCAAAGTTTATTACCTTACTCCTGCTTCTTTGTTAGTACCCAAAAGCGTGCCAATGTCATGCCCATTTTTTGAAAATTGGGTTTTGTAAGACAACAAGAAAGAGCAAACTTCTCTTGAACTCACTGTTATTCTTTCCCTTTACATATTTCAAGTAATTTCTGCTCTTTTTTTTTTTTTTTAGAATTTCTTCTGTTCAAGAAGGAAGAATATGAGGAAGTCAATTATAATGCAACCTGAAACTTTAAATTAGTGATGGGAAGCTAAGCTTTATAACCCATTCTTTTGCTGCTTTAACATGCTCCCAAATGATCACAGAACACTCCAGGCTTGCAAATGCAAATACTTTACAGCATCAATGCTTTTCCCACATTATCTTCTGCTGAGATACTATCAACACTTGCTTGATTACTTTCCCTTTACTCTGGAATTTAATCATCATGGTTGGTATTCCCAGAGCTGTTGATGGAATTCATGCTTCACATATCTTCCACTGAGCCTAACAGAGTTAATTTTAATTAATGTTCATGTGTGGTTTAGCTGCTCTGCAGCTTTGAAACACCAACCCATAACGTGGAAGAGATGACAAGTGTGAAACTGAAATACTTGGGTGAAAATCAAAGTGAAATGTTATTAGGTAAACATGCCTTCTCTTCGGGAGCTGCTCCCTCACTGTTCCATTTACGTAACATCTCCTCACTGTAGTCTGGTATTGCAGCAAATCCCTTAGCTCTCGATCGACATGGACACAACAGCAATAATAGTGGAATAACTGCAAGGAAACACAGATTGTCATCAACTATGTGATGATTAGGGCCAAAGCATGGTAACAGCAAATACTGAAAAACCTGGGCAGCTCCTATACAGAAATGCATCTTTAATGAGTTAATGAATGATCAGCATAAGGACTGATAAGGGCTGCAGACAAGTTACTAAATATTCAAGATATTTCCAAGACCCATATGCCAGGATGGTTTCCTAGAGAGTAAACTGATCATTAACCTGTGTCAAGGTCTTAGTCTTACAAGTGATCGTGTATATATTTAGCTGCATTTCTACTGAAAATATCACATTGCAAAAATCAAGCCCCAAATACCACTCTACAACCTTAAAATTTAAGTCTGCCTGTTCTTTTACTACTAGACAAATAAATGACTTTATATAGATTACACCTCACCACACCTATGATATGTTTACAGTATTACTTGGGGAACTGAACAGTCTTGCTTCAGGAGCAGAACATACTTGCCTGGAAGGAACTCTGTTTTGCTACAGCTAGATTGACACTAGCATAAGCAATAAATTTTTTTCCGGTTTAAATATAGCATTGGTATACATGGCCATACCCTAACCCCAAGTGATGTTCTTTTTATCTTTTTATCCTTTGACTTTCCATTTTGTCTTACTAAAGATCATCATCACGTGCTATTCGCAACAGTAACCATATCCAAGCTGTCCGTGACTGAGAAGAGCATGGAGAGCAACCACAGCACTGTGGCTTGAGTGGGAAGAGCTAGGATTCACATAGGGAAGTGTGGGAAATGCTGAGAAGATTTCTTATTGCTTCTCCACATGGTATTTATGGCAAGATAAACACATATGCAAGCCACACATATTAATTTTAAAATGTACAGCTTGAATTTTTTGAGGGTGAAATGCTGATGTTACCAAAATTAGCTGGAAATTTTCCATGACGTCATAAAGACTAGGAATTTATTCACAAAGTAAATAGAGATGATAAGCTCTGAGAGCAGGGACTGTTTCTTCTCAGGTGCCTTGCAGACCCTACTCTTAGCGCTTCCGAGATAATATAAAACAATTACTTACGCAGCAAAAGTAAAAATGCCAAGATGATTAGTGCAACTGCTCCAGGTCCCAGACCTGCTGACTGACTTTCGGCGCATGTGGGTATAGAGCTGTCACGTGGACACGTACAAACAGTCAACTGCAGAGACTGTTTCTGGGTACAGCTGAACCCTTGGTAATCTTGTATTAAGATTGGAACTTCAGTTTTACCAACTTTTAGGTTCTGTGGGATCAGCTGTATGCTAGTGTCTGAGGCAGAAGGGTGGGGTTAAAGAAAAGGAAAATAACAAGTGAGTGAAGAGAAAGTTAGCTCCTGTAAACTAAAGGATATTAAGTTTTCCCAGCCTCCCATCCCAGCCCCCAGTTAAGTCACACCAGTGCAGTGGAATTAACTTCAATTAGCTGCTGCTACAGCTTATACACTGCTATTTTTATCAAATCATTCATGCTGGTAACAAAGCAGCTGTCCTCATTTGCAGTCTTAGATAATTGTGGAAGAGTTTCAAGCTAGCAGAGACTATTACATAATACAGTCTGATCACCTGTCTAGCCCTAACCTTTACGTCATCCCAATAACTAAAGGCTGAATTCACAAAAACAGTTTCAGCCTGTAGGAGAATAATCCTGCAGGCCACAGGCAGAGACCAGGGGAGTTAAAATACCACCTATTTTTGTGGCCGTGTGATGTCAAAGACACAGTTAGGTGAGAGATACCCAAATGATCCCAGGTGGGAAACACCACCCTATTCTGAAAAGCAATAATCCCTACAATTACTGCTAGCCTAACTTCTGTACAATTACTGCTAGACTGACCTCTAGTCTCTGGGGTGAGAAAAAGAAAGAATTCTTTCTTGGTCCTAAACCTGGTGATCAGGATGACTGTCTTCTGCTTTGTAGTGTTATCCTGTCAGGTTACAGATGACAGAATAAGGATTTTGGGAAGAAAAAGTATTTTCTGGTGCCTTCCAATTACCTGAAGCATTTATTTTAAGTACTTCCTAGATGTGTATGAACGTGAATGTGAAAAGAAGATGCTTATCTCATTTCACCGCACTCATTCAAATGATTTAAGAAAGAGTGCCGCAATTGCGGAGGCCTGCAGTTGCCTGCAGTTCCCCTAGTGTATCTAGGGGAAGTAGAATCTTGGACAGGTTGCACAGCATTTTCCTTTTTCAGGGCCCACACTATGAAGACTTTTTTTTTTTTCTCTTTCTCTTTTTTAAAGACTAAAGCAACCGCAGCCCAGTAACACAGTCAAGCTTAGTTTTAATAGATAGCATCTTGCATCCCTTTGCTTGCTTTCAGTGGCAAGATGGGATGCGGTTTAATCCCAGTGTCATCCACAAACTCCTGGATGCCACATAGAGGTCGTCAAGCTAGACAAAGATGGTCCATCTGAGGGAAGGGGGTAGGTCTCAGAATACGTAATTGTGCTTTTACATGCACTAGAGAGAAGGGAGTAGGATGCAAATGATGTGTCTTCATGCATGACTCCATATATGTGGGAATTTTTTGTCTGGATTGGTTAAGCTATCAGTTTGACCAGAATTAAAATGCAACACCCTTGCAGAACTCTAAAGAACTGAAAGTAACTTACAATATATTTTCTTACCATTTCTGGATCCAATCATCCAATTTTTTGTTGTCCCCTCTGGCTCAAGGAGAGTAAAGCTGAAGGGAGCACTGTTTGGGTAACTATCCAAATCAACAGCTGTAACATCAATTAATTTTGTATCTGAACACACAGTCCGTACAGGGTCCACAATAACCGGACAGTTATCATTCACATCCTCAACTTGAATAAGGATTGTGCCGGTGACTGTTTTCTTTGGGAAATCTAAGAATATAGAATTTGATAAGTTATATTCATTAAATATGTACAAAAGTCTTACCTAAAACAGTTTAATACTTTAATAATCTTTGCTTTAGAAAGAGCAAGTTGAAAGAGTAATGTTGATGTCATTGAACTTGATGGGTGCAATATTTCATCCCTAGTATTTATAAACATATTGAGAAGGTTCTTTTGAAGAAAAGTTCTTTCACTATTTTAATTTTAAAAAGCATTTCCTACATACAGTTGTACAGTAGCACGCAGACTACAAAACGAGAATTCTAATTATATGCACCAGAAGTTTCAAATGCCTCTCTTGCTTAGCATTCAAAAAAACTTAGGACTCTGAAACCTGCTGATTATTGAGAGATTGACCCAGTTTCCGTCTTTATAAGGGACGTTCTTGTCCAGCTTCACAAAAACTTTCATAATTTCGTTTCAGTAGGTAATACCCCTGCAGCAAAATAGATTCCACCTTCTCACCAAGACTTCTCAGTAAGAGTGTGTATCATTTTTAACAGCTTCAGTGCCAAGACAGTTAAGGCAAAGCAGCCCCCCCTCACTGAAAAGAGGAAGACATGCAACACTTACTTAGCAGCTGTTTTATACCTGTAGGTGTTGTTAAAAGTAGCATCAGAAAAACATTCAGGTGTGTTTTCAGAATGCAGTAAGAGACAGCTATAGCCTAAAGAGGTGTTACAAAAAGTATCTCTACTTCCAGAAATAGAGGAGTTGGCCTTCAATCTGTTTAGTTGAACGTCTGCACTGACTTTGATGGCAGCTTTCACATGAGAAAGTGCTTGTCAGTAGCATAGCCGAGCGTTGGCAGTTTCTCTTAGAGCGCGTTAACTTTACCATCTGAATATTACACACATTTTAACCATGTGTTTAACTTTGTCTAGTCAAAGAAGAGAGAAATGGACACCTCAGAAACCCTTTCAATTTACCTTTAGTTACGCCCAACACGGTGATAGTGTAGGTGCCATTTACTACATGAGCCGATTCATAATCAAGGTCTTTTGCAAGTTTGATTTCACCTGTAACTGCGTCTATTGTAATCCAGTTTGCAGAATCTCTTCCTTTGATGTACCTGATAAAAAGTGCATATAAAAGTACACATATTTATAACGCACAAAGTCTTCAGTGGAAAAGGCAGCTTACTCCTCACGCAAAGCTGAGACCAGATGCCCAGGTATGAAGCCTGACTCTCCTGCTGTTGTAACTGGTTTCAACTATAAGCCTAAGATTATAAACATACCCCAAGTTTGAAACTTCCTTCTCCCTCTCTAGCATCAGCCAGGATTTGAGCGTAGAGGCATTATAAAAAGGTAGACTGAGGGCAAGAAAAGAACAGGAGAGTGAACTCTGCTGCTGGCTGTGGTTCCCTTCTTCCCTTCTATCCTTATCCCCCCCAAAATCTGAGCAGCAGCAACAGAGACCATATTACAGGAGCGGAAGACAGGGCTCCACAGCTGGTTGCAACTGTGTCTGCGAACGCCATGGCAATGCTTCAATCAAAATTCGGCTGGAAAACAGTGAGACACACACACACACAAAAACGAATGCAGCCACATATATGCACATGCAAACTTATCTATCTTACACCCTTTTGTCCGATTTCTATAAATGTCTGTATATTTCTTCCTAATATTTCCACAGACAAAGTCAAATGAGTAAGCTTACTCTGAAAAGTGTAGAGGCATGACAAATAGCATACAAGCACAGACAGTTTCAGCAGAAACACTCAGGTCTTGCCATATACATCAAAACAAGTAGGATTTTTGAGCCAGCAGTTTTCTACATAACAGAATATTGATGGTTATGATGTTTTCTTTTTAGGTCTCAATTACACATAGTAGCAAACAGA